CCATTTTTTTGGTCAGACTATTATTTTAACCCGAGGCATCAGCGAGCCCTTTACGGATCATTTGTGTTAGTGTGTCAGTTTGTGCCACTATCCTGACTTCCGGTTTGTTGCCACTGATTCTGGTGCGGTGTGAAAAATAATTTCCTCTATCAGACCATTTAATTTTACATTGTTACAGAGTCAAGAGCTTTCGTGTAAAAGTTGCTTGACGTTCTGCCTGCTCTTCATCTGACAACGAGAGTATGCATCAGAAAATAATCCCTCAAAAACATGTCATCTTACCGTCACATTCATGTCGTCCTTTTTTCCAAAATCTCAACAGGAGCTAATTTCTAGCCAGATGTGAGACACCGTAAAATATTGAACGTTAAAACAAGTAATGCAATTTCATGCTGGATGCGCCTCAGAATGACTGGGGGGGTGATATAAACTGGAGTACATAGAAGTAAATGAGCTGGAACTAAATGGCACCTGTGTTCCTCCTATATCAAAGGTCACCTGTGGAAGTTTTGACCATGACTCACACCCTGCAGTAATGTTTTGTTGAGCAGGCGCTCATTTAGTTTATATATCGTGCTCCGCTTTTCATTATTATGATGCACACGACCATCACAGGAAAAGGGCCGGCGTGACAAACTGCGGCTCCGTATGCAAACGTGGAATGGATGTTGGTGTAAGGTTTGTCTATATAAGAATACATCTTAAAATAACCTGTATTCTCTGGTTTGACCATGAAGTGACGTTTAATGAGCAGATCTCTGTAGGAATCTTGTGTTATACAACACAAACGAGGACAATCATGTCCAGCATGTGTGCAAGGATGATGAGACTCTGACCGCAGATACAGATTTAAATGTGAGACCGGGGCTGAGGTAGTACCCTTCACTTAATTAAAAGTACTAATACAACACTGCAGAAATACCCTCTTACAAGTACAAATTCTTGCAATGAAAATGTTACTTGCGTATGTAAGTATAATCAGGAAACATATTCAAATGACTCAGTGATGAAAGAGCTTGTAATTATAATACATTATATTTTTTGATTATTTTTACTCATGCTTTAATGTAGAAGGAGGATTTTGCTTTTGTAGCTGGTGGAGCTCATTTCTAACTATTTTATACAGGACTGCAACTAATGAATATTTTAATTATGAATTAATCTGCATATTATTTTCTCTGTCTATCATTCAAACGTTATGACATTCCTCTTGTTTCAGGCAAACCAAAATGAAACAATAAAAAAAGAAGAAGAAGGCTGCAAATCTATGAACACAATACAGGATTTAAAACATTACAGGGCGCTTTAAAGGTGGAAAATGTATTCAGTGTGACTGACCAGACAAAAAACGAGTTTGTGTCCACCGACAAGTACAAAAGTGATCTTGTAAAGACGTTTATAACGGTTAAAAACAGTTAAGGGATAAATGAAACTGCCCACACTATGTGTTCACAGTGTCACAACTGTGAACACACACACACACACACACGCACACACACAAGCCAAGCACAAGCACATGCTATGAAGGAGCAGCTGGCTGGGAAGCAGAGACCCCGGTCGCGCAGGCCCAGGTGGCAGTGCTGTAAAGTGACACTGTGATTTAAGTCCTGTGTCTTCGTAAGGTCCGTTATCTGCCGCCGCTAACAGGGCCGCGCCGATACGGTCCGACAGCCAAGCGGCTGCAGCTCAGGAGGCAGCGCTGATAATGGATGGCTTCGACCCGTGAAACTCCC